CCCATTTTCTATTTTCTCCTTATAGAATACAATGAAATGCATGTTACTCAACACGAAATGTACTGTTACTCAACAGTTCAAGCCACTTACCCTCTACTATGTTTTCCATCATTTTCTCTGTGCTTCATTCTGTGTAGATACTTCTCACCTGTCTGATTCTCTAATATTTTCCTCAGCATATGTAATTTGTTTTTTTCTTTGCTTTTAGACAGTGTATTATTATATAGTACATTTGAGATGACCTTTTAGCATATGTGCTGTCGAAGCAAACATCAGGCTAACCTTGAACTTGCTTATGTAGCCGAGGCTGGCCTCAAATTCATGGCAATCTCCTTGCCTCAGCATTCCAAGTAATGGGATTACAGGTGTGTGCTACCACACTTGACATATAATCTGTTAACCCCATACACTAGCCAGGTGTGGTGAGGAAGGCTGAGATAGTAAGATTGAAAGCTAAAGTCCTACCTGGGCAATTTAGTAAGACACTGTCTCAAAATAAAAAATAAAAAGTGCTGGAGATGCAGCACAGTGATACAGTACCTCTGGTTTGATCCCCAGTATGGGGTGTGGAAAAGCCCACACATTGAAATAATTCTTTTTTATTTTTGACATGGAATTTTGTGGCATTGCCCAGACTGGCTTCAAACTCCTGAGCTTAAGTGATTCTCCTGCCCCAGCCTCCCATCATTCTATCTGGGTCTCTCAATAAAGGAAGTCTTTTTTTCTTTTTTTTAATAAATGAAATCTTAATGGGCTGCTTCTACTGATTCTAACCATGTTTCCCTGTGCACTTTTAGGACAGGGTGGCGGGGCCAGGGGAGCCACCTTGCTCTGTCCCACCGTGTACTTAGTATTTTTGTCTAACCATTGTCTTTAAAAAATGGTTAACAGGAATTTTTTTGTCTCTTCCAATGAAAGTAACTTTCTCCAAAGAGATTTAAAACCTGTTCCTGGGGGACTTGAGGGTTAGCTCAGTTGTTTAAAGTGCCTGCTTGGGCAAACTCATGCAGGCACAGGGCCCTCGGTTCAATCCCTGGCTCCGCAAGCCACACTAGACCCACCCTTAAAGCAACCTGAGCTAACAACAACTAAAAACCCTTCTACAATTTTGTTGCTGGCTTCTGAGCTCAGCTCTGGAGTGTGTGGGCACCACATCCAGCCACAAAGGTGGCAAGAAGAAGCCCCTAAAGCAGCCCAAGAAACAGGCCAAGGAGATGGATGAGAAGACAGAGCATTCAAACAGAAGCAAAAGGAGGAGCAGAAGAAACTTGAGGAGCTAGAAATAAAAGCTGCAAGGAAAGGGCCTCCTGGCCACAGGTGGGATTAAGAAATCTGCAAAAAATAAACTGTTCCTTGTGTGTACAATGATGGGGACCCTGGATTCCATTCCTATTCAAATATCTGGATGCCCTGCCATAACACCTCTTGACACCTATAACTAGAATGAAGTGTGTTCTTGGAGTCTATTGTACATTTAAGAATAAAATTTTATAAAACAAAACAAAAATCTGTTCCTGTAGGAAGCCTGAAAGCATTAATACACCTAAAACACCTTAAATCCAGGTTTGATTTCTGTGAATTATTACCCTGTATAAAGTTGGGTTAAAAATTCTCAGAAAGGGGCATGGTGGTGTGAGCCTGTAATCCCAGCACTTGGGAGGCTGAAAACAGAATGATCACTGAGTCCAATCTGTGTAGTGAGACCCTGTACTAAATACATTTTTTAAAAAAATCTCAGAAAGGCAAACCCATGAACACAATTCCCAGAAATAAGCTACGCACAAGTTTTCCACATTTTCCTTCAACCCCCTACATGCAGTAAAAAGATAGCCAGATGGGGGGCAGGGAATCCACTCTAACTTGTAGTATAGAAAGCTCTCCTCCAGGCTTTCTGCCTTGAGAGGTCAGAAACCTTAACTACTATTCTTTTCTTTCTACAAGTCCTCTGAAGTCAAAGCCCCACTTTTTCCAGGTTGGCACACATCTACAGAACAAAGGCAGGTGCCATCCCGTGGACCTTCTTTGTTTCTACTTTCTGTTAGATTTTGACCTAAAAGCTCTTTGCTATCCTGTCAGTTTTTTGACTATTTTTAATTCAGCAACTTTAGTTGTTTCCCATAAGGTGACTAGTGAGTAGAAGACAGCTTAACATTGCATATGTTTTTCTTAAGAAATTTTTCTGATATACAACTACATATTGATACTTGTATTCTCTCATCACTCTACTGGCGTCTATTCATGCTGATGAGATACTTGTCAACCTAGTTGATGTTCCTACTTAGGTAATCTTTTACCTCTAGCTCAAAATCTTTCTACACTATCTTTCTGGAGCTATACACAATTCCAATATATGGCCAGGGCTGGTGGCAAATGCCTCTAAGCCCAGCACTCAGGAGGCTGAGACAGCAGGATCACCATGAGTTTGAGGTCAGCCTCAACTACAAAGTAAGTTCAAGGCCAGCCTGAACTTCAGGTGAAATCCTGCTTGAAAAAGAAAAAAAAAAAATCAATATATCCGTATGACTTGTATTTCTCTAAAAAATGTAGATCACTTAGGACATATTGTGTTCCCTAAATCTATGGATCTATGTCTCTTATGTTTTGTTTTTTGAGACGGGGTACTGCTCTGTACCCCAGGCTGGCCTTGAGCTTACTATGTAGCCCAAACTGGTCTCAAACATACAGGGATCCTCTTGCCTTAGTCTGTGAGTGCTAGAAAATTATTTTATTAGTTTTTGAAACACTGAATGCTATTTATACTTTGAATAGTGCCAGGTGTGGCAGTGCGCACCTGTAATCCTAGTACTCCTAGAGGCTGAGGCAGGAGGATGGTCACAAGTTGAAAGCCAGTCAGGGCAACACTATAAATAAGACCAGCCTGAACTACAAATCAAAATCTTATCAGGGCCAGCCAGATAGCTGAGTGGATTAAAGCACCTGCTTAGGCAGATGCAGGGACTGGGGTTCAAACTCCGAGGGCCCTGTGGGCCCTACCCCCAGGGCAAGCTGAGATGAAGATTCAGACTGGGCGTGGTGGGACAGGCCTGTAATCCCAGTTCTTGGGAGGTTGAAAATAGGAGAATCACTACAAGTC